TCTTTTTTTTTTCTTTTTTTTTTTCTTTTTATCTCCATTTTTATTATTTTTTTTTTTGACAAATTTGTTGGGGTCAAGGGCCGAGAGGGGCCCGACGGGCCCCTTTTCTTTAATCATTATAATATGATATACGCCCTACAGTCAATTTCAGAGACACATTAAGGTGTTATTTATCAACAAAGTCCTTTTTGGTCAGGGTGCTAGATCGAGGAACCTATGGTTAGGGCCCCTTCGGGCCCCTTGAATTCGGGGGCCCTGAGGCCGCATGAGAGCGCATAGCCGTTACGCCACTGGTTACAAGTTAAGCTTTGAAATTTACTGTATCTAGGAGGTATCTATATTCCACCCCAGGTGCCTTTGTAGTACATTTGACGATTCATATTATTGAATGAGTTATTAATAGGTCCATGGTTAAACCATGTTGGGTGAGGTGTCTATTGAAAAACGATTACCAAAACTAGCCTATACAAGTGTGAATTTAACTTCAGTGGTTAATTAAAAACACTTCCTTATTCTATGCTCGAAATGCTAAATAGGCCTATGTTCATTTCGTTATAAGTACTCAAAAGTCCGATTGTGCGGTAATTTAAACAACATTCGAAACACTGACGTAAAAAGGTTGGTTTCAGTGTGTGTGTGTGTGTGGGTGTGTGTGTGTGTGTATGCCTGTTTTGTACAATTTAAATAGTAGATTTTTCCCCGAAAATCCCTACAAGAGTTAACGTCATTTGCATCCTGGTGAGCGGTAAATAGACATTAGGGTCCCTCTGGGGTTTAGGAGAAAAATAATGTCAATGTTAGGCCTATTAGATTTTTTTTTTTGAGAAATGCTTGCATTCCGATGTTTAGACTAATGCTTGAGTATTGAATCTTTACCTAATACTAATAACGTCATACAAAATCATAGTACTGTACAGCTGTCTCTTATACACATCTAGATGTGTATAAGAGACAGCCACTTTGTACCTGTCTCTTATACACATCTTTGCCACAATCACCAAAAGAATCGGTTGCTGCAGGAAATGTAGTCTGAAATTTCCAACAATTTATTAAAAGGTTTAACCAACGAGATCTTTCGGTCAAAGACCTTGTGAATACGTGACACGATTCTGCAGAGCAGATGTCTTTTAACCCATTGGGACATCTTGAAAATTCGAAATTTGAATCCAATTTGAAGCAACTGATGTTCAATAGACAGCAGAAGATTCCGGGTTCATATCCCGGTTGGGGCAACTTTTTTACGTTCAAAACTATGGTGTAACAGGTAATGCGCTAGTTGGTCATCGTCACATCTGCTTTTGGTTCAATAATATTGAGTCATAGACTAAAAGCCTCCAGAGGGCGCACTATTCGTCACTGTTCAGTAACAGGATGTAATAAGTTCATTATAGATTGGGAATTTTGTTGGAAATTTGAAATAGACCTACAAAAATCCAAAGCAATGTAATGAACGTTACTTGAAATTTCCCGGAAATCCCACTCCATCAGACGTGAGTAACTGAAAAAACACATGTACAAATACAAAATACAATATAATGTGTGCTGCCTGATTACTTTGACTCCTTACTTTCGGTATCAACGTTACGTTAGCATTTTGTTAGTTAACTTGTAGTTATGGGGTTTTAATTAAATTCAAGCTTTTTTTTCAATTTATTCGGGGTTTTTTTCCAAATTGTAATATTAGTCTTGTTTATTATCATTTATTTATGTCATATAATGTAATTTATATAATGTTTAATATACTTAAATTATCACTATTTGTAATTATGTTGTAAAGGAAAATAGAAAGGAAATTAAATAAAGTAAAAAAAAAAAAAAAAAAAAAAAAAAAAAAAAAACGAGAGTCCAACAGATAGAACTGGGATCAGGCTCAAGGAGCCGTGTATGAGCAGCTTAGCTCAGAGCTGAGTAGCTTAGCTCAGTCGGCTAATCTGGTGGTAGCCACTGTGTGTGCGCTGAACCGTGGAGATCTCTAGGTTCAATTCCCATATTGCTGTTTCTCCTATGTTTCAGCTGGAGGGCTGAAATGCAAGTTACAATAGCGCACCTCTTTCAGATTGGACGTTTAAGCCGTTGGTCCCGTGTGCATTATGGCCCATGTGCACGTTAAAGAACGCAGTACACTCTTCGGAAAAGAGTAGGGGATTGTCTCCCGGTGTACTGACCAATCACCACCAGAAGGCCACCACGTGAAATAAGTCTTCTTCTAGACTTTCGTGGGCTATCCTTGGTGTTTACACCGAATAAATTCAGTCAATCAATCAATCAGTTTGAAGTAACGTCCTGGAATAACACCATTAAATTAGTGATATGGGGGAAATTATGGGTTAGGTTGGTAAAATGTCAGACCGCCGCAGTGTATTAGGAACTACAGTCATAATAACTTTGGCATAGTTACCAGCCGTCTCGCATCATGCGGGACTCACTGGCGGGACGGTCCCGTGTTTCAAAGTGATTTTGGACGAAACACGCATTTTGCAAAAATGCATGCGTGATCATAAAATTAGAGAAAATTGGTTTTAAAAAAATATATAAACAGTCATGCAGTGACTGAAACTTTAGTTCTGGCATAAAAGATGCACGCAGTCAGGTAACTGAATACTTAATTCACTGACACGTTACTAAAAATTGATCAGTATGCCTCTTCATTTTTTGTTTGTTTGAGTAATGAAACGTTATGTACATAGTTCGGGTGCTCAAATTAAACATACATTGAAACTCAAATTGTACGTGGCTTTATTAATATAATTTAATGTGGTTCGATTTATATAGCACTTTGTACCGAAGTCTCGAGGTGTGGACTAATTCGCACAGTAACTTTCTTCTCCCCTAATGGTCTCTTCGTGTCTGAGATACCCGGTAAACCGGTACCGGTACCAGATATCTCTCGTCTGTCCACAACAGATTGTCTCGTCTGTCCACGACAGATTACCAACAAGATGAAATGGGTGCGTTTATGTACAAAATGAAATGGGTGTGGTAGGCCCTGTAACAACTGATAATGTAAAAACGACGCATAATGTAAACTTAGGTCACAGGACAAATGCAGGTTTAAATATTACGGAAGACCGTTTGTAACGTGGGAAAAAACAAAGGAGAATAGGCCAATTAGGCATTCGGATAGATGATGTGGGTCATACTTATTTCTCTTCAAAATTCCACAAAATTTCTCCCCAAACAATATCCTGTGTATTAATTACATTAAAAAAATCAATATTGGTTAATTTTGGGTAATTTGGTTAATCATAATGAACTTGCTTAATCATGGTTCCTTTTGGTCGACTTGAATCCGCCACTAAAATGACAAAATCGATGACCATTTGCATAGACCACGAACCATGTGATCGAGCTAAACAAGTAAAGTTTCCTGCTGTTATCATGATTCTATTCAAATATGATCTAACCGAAGATGTCTACTGTTTACATAGATAACAAAACACAAACATGAGCCTAAAATGCGTGTAGGGAAAATTACGTTTGCGACGCTATGAGTTCATCTCTCTTTATAAAAGCAATAAATGCTATTAAAATAATCGGTAGTATTATATGCTGTAGTAAACTTGGATATGACAGAGCAATGGTAGGCCTAATTGAATGGTATACTAATATGAAGTGCATAGTTTCTGAATATAAGCTGTCTCTTATACACATCTAGATGTGTATAAGAGACAGGGCCTATATATACATATACATATTATATATATATATATATATATATATATATATACCATCTTAACAACCGGGTTTTTTTTAATCGACATCTATCAATCAATTACTGATAAATCAATTTGTATAACCAAAATCCAGTCATTGTTTCTATATACTTACTGTTTTTTGTTTTTCAGTATTTTGCCTTTTAATGTAGACCTACTTGTAATTCTTGCTCGACTACAATGTCGTGAAAATCACAGCGCTGTCTTGGTTTTATACATCAATCATTATGACTTGTTTCTATCGTTTCCATCGTGCTTTTCCCTATAAGAGATGAATTTAGGAATAGTGCCATCTGGTTTTACAAGTTAATTCCAATCAACATTACAGGCACCTAACTGAAATACCGGTACCTGTAAAAACACTTACCGTATGAGATACATTTATCATTTTCAAAAAAGACCATATGAAAAACAGGCTATAACAACGACTTGATATGTTTTAATCCTGTATAAATATGTTTGAAATAAAAAATTAAAATAAAAAAAAAATACATACAATAAATTTTTACCTTATTATTTTAGCGGCAATTACAAATTTAGTGTCGCTCTCGCACTATCACGACCTACATTGCGATTGGTACATGACCGACAACGACCAGTACGATTGTGGCCGAGTCGTAATACTGTGAGAGCAGCTATAAGGTGTAACTTGCTTGTGACAAGGGAGAGGGTCGTGGATGGTCGCGGAGTTTTCAATGTTGAAAGATGTATTTTTTTCGGTATAGGTCACCAGTCTGATCGTAGTCGCTCTCACACGTGTCGTCGTAGTCATTTGGCTGAGACCCGGGTTCTGACCATGTACTTGCTAGCTATGTATACCACGAGTTAAAGCAAAAGTAGACATTATGACCATTAAATGGAACGAGGTGTTGCCATGAATAATAAATGAGTCAAGGTAAATGTTCATGCTGGGGGTAATTCTACGACGTACGATCGCAGGGCTACGTCGTGATATTGTGAGGGGGCTACGATTGGAGGGCAGGTCGCGATAATATGAGATAAAGTGAGAGTTATAGTAGGCCTAGGCTACCCAGAGGTGCAACTTAGGAAAGTTAGACGTAAATGCATTGTATATAGGAATAATGGGTGATCTATTCAATTATATGTTAAAAGATCAAGTTGTTGCCACGACTTCTGCATGCAGCATTTTGAAACCACAAATGTTCGTGTTCAATTTGAAATTGTATACATATTTTCATACTATCAGACCGTTCCGAATTATTTGTTCCATATTGTACACCCAGCCATTATCACATGACTTAGTCACACTATTGTTTTCTTCGGGCTGTTTGTATCCATGTTTTGCTAGGACTCACAAGACTAGCTTAAATCGGTAAAAAGCTCGTGACAAGGCCTATGGAAGGAAACTGAGGCTTAAACTGTAAAAAAATGTCACCGTTGACGAGAAATTGACACACTGAGGATATAGGCATACAGCTGCAACTGTTAAAGGTAGGAATGTAGGCCTGAATCAATCAAGTTTAATTAATGTATTCTTTACATCGAACCGTAAAGTGAAACAGGTATACTGCATGCACAAAACCACAACAACTTGTTTTTCAAATAGTAAGTTAATACCACAAAAATACAATAAGTCATATGATTATCACGCAAAGCAATTTAACAACTTCCAGATTCCTTTAGAGTTTGCTGCATTGCTGCTGTGGTACGTTCTAAAAAAAAACAAGGTGGTGGCGGTGGTGGTCGTGGCGTTAGTGGTGTTTACATTGGTGGCGGAGTGTTTATGGTAGTNNNTAAACAAACTTTTATTTTGCATTAAAGAGTATATACACTGTTGACCTCCTTGTAGCATATGTTTTGTACTGTACTTGGGGCGGACCGGAACCCTCCTCGACTTGAATCCGCCACTAAAATGACAAAATCGATGACCATTTGCATAGACCACGAACCATGTGATCGAGCTAAACAAGTAAAGTTTCCTGCTGTTATCATGATTCTATTCAAATATGATCTAACCGAAGATGTCTACTGTTTACATAGATAACAAAACACAAACATGAGCCTAAAATGCGTGTAGGGAAAATTACGTTTGCGACGCTATGAGTTCATCTCTCTTTATAAAAGCAATAAATGCTATTAAAATAATCGGTAGTATTATATGCTGTAGTAAACTTGGATATGACAGAGCAATGGTAGGCCTAATTGAATGGTATACTAATATGAAGTGCATAGTTTCTGAATATAAGCAAGGATAATATATTGTAGACGATGGAGCAGTTCGCGATATAGTGAAACGTCAATGAGGGAGTCCGTAGAGCAATTTTCCTCCATCCTTAAGGCGGCGCAATATGTTTATAATCAACAGATAATCCACGGCACTGCTCGGGTTTGTTTGTTTTCTTATTTCTCCACTCCGTCAAATGCTGTCATATACTCTTTGCACATGTTCACAATTATTTCCTCCATTCTACAGAGGGCGGACGTTCCATCAATTTTAATGCAAAACACGCGAAGAGCTCATTTTTCTATACTAATAATAATAATAGTATTTAGTAATAGTAGGCCCAATTGTAATAGTTTCATAATCATCATTACACACTATCATTGTAATGGTCATCTTCATCGGTATCTACATATCACCCTCTTTATCTCCATCGGTATCGGCCGTCATCGTCGTCGTTACCACTATCCTCATTATCATCATTATTTTATTTATCAATATTATTTATTTATTTATCATTATTAAAATGTTATCATCATCAACTAACGTTTTAACATAAATACTGAGTATTATGATATTCGACATACATTTGTAAAAAGGTTGATTTTCGATATCAAATTTTCCTCGAGCAAACGAGGCATGACAGGTCATCAGGATATTGGAGCTTAGCGTTTTGCAGGCTATAGAACATCGTGATATTCAGTATCAGTACAACGTTTAAGTTATATGCATAAAAGCATAAACCAATTACATGGCCATCTTTTGCAATATCAACCTTGAACGTTGATCCCGAGTGTTTTATCCGGTGATCAAAGTAGATCAAAAAGGTGAGAAATTGGGTCGAGTAATCATTTGTGGTTTAGGTAGTAAACATGGAGGATAACGAAGCTAACACAGCATAAGAGTAAGGGGTGCTACAGTATATAGAAGAGGTAAAATACAGAATTTGCTTCGTCTAAGACGGCTATTTTTGTGTTGCCTACGTTTAAATATAAATTTCAAGTCAAAACATATCCCGGGTGTCAAAAATACATTGGCGGATTTGCTCTCTCGCTTTCAAATAGACAAAGCCCACTCCATGTTTAACCATATCAACCCCTCACCTACCGAGGTTCCTAACTCCCTGCAATACATTTGAGTTTTCTCTTACAATTTGTTTCAGGTACAGAATTGATAGCGTCTTCAGCTTGTATCATACAAGGTGTAACATAATAATACAAGGATACTTTCAGACACTGCAAGGCAGTTGACTGATGCGTCGTTGACAGATGCAACCAAAAAGGCTTATTCCCGTAGTTGGGCACTATTACAATCATGGTCGGCCCCTCATTAAAAATTTCCATTATCGTCTATGGTTTATGTAATTTTATTGGGGTTTTTTTGTACGAAAAGGGGTATGCACCACGAAGTATATCCTCTCATGTGTCTGCCATTTGCTTCATTCACAAAATTAATGCGTTTGCAGACCCTTCTGACACATTTCTAGTTAGGAAAGCTTTAAGGTGAGTACACTCCTTGGCTAAGTCCCCGGATACCAGGTTATTGATTACCATGAATATTCTTCGATGTATCATAACAGTGTTACATTCGGTTGAACAGGTTCGAACAGACAGACAACTAGTGCAAACATTTTTTCTACTAGCCTTCCATGCCTTTATGCGTATAGGGGAGTTAGCGGCCCGACCCGGGAAAGAGGGGCCAGCCATTCAACGCAAACGGAAGTAAACGAACGGAGTAAACCTAATGATACGTCATTCAAAAACATCAACGGGAAAACCTCCGGTGGTCATTTCAATTGCTAGGCAAAAAGATAAATCTTTCTGTCCGGTTTTCCAGTTACGCGAGTATATCACACACTTCCGACATACCCAGGGGCCACTCTTTCAACACATGGATGGTCGAGCGGTGTCACCCCAGTACATTTCTTCAAAGATCAAGGCAGCCATAACATTTATTGGTTTAAACCCAGCCTTGTATAAGGGTCATAGTTTCAGGAGAGGAGCAGCCACCCAGGCAGCAGTCATGGGTTGCTCTGAGGAACTAATTTTAAAAATGGGGCGTTCGGTCGTCCAATGCTTTTCGTTGCTATATTCGCATAAATGCTTTTTTCTACTTGATAACGAAAAAAACTCCTTTGCTAAGGCAACAGTTGGCGGCACTTTGTATTTTTATCTGAGAGAGGGCACTCCCGACACAGCATATGGCTGTGTTTTATATACAGTATAGCATATGGCTACGTCATACAGCGTCTGGCTGTGTCACGTCAGCGGACAGGCTGACACAATGTGGGCGCTTGGCCTGCCAAAAAAGGGAGAAAGTTGTAACCCTTCGTTAAAACAAGTGTAAGCTGTTAATAACGTGGTTTGTATGTGCTTTATCTTGTTTTTAATACTTGTTAATATATAAGATATATTCAGATCAATGACAAGGAGAGTTACGGTTTGTGTAACTCCTTTTCTGGGTGCTCCCATCACCGATGGGTCTGGCCTTGTGGCACCCAGTCTTCACATATTGTCATATATACTGTATAATTTTTACTAGTTGATGTTATAAAATATATATTCGTTATTAAGTTTGATGCTTATGTATTTATATTCCAGTGCAACGCCAAGTATAGCCTATGGGATTTTCATACCCCTTTTTTAGTTGCAAACTGCTCGAAAACAATTGTATAATTTGTAGTAGGGTCAGCATTTTAGTTTTGTTTATCATAGTCGAATGCTGACCTATTCTTTCTATTTCAATTTTTACTTTTCGTCATTGATTTAATGACGCATAATTTGTTGTAGGGTCATTTAAGTAGGGTCATAGTCGAATGCTGACCTATTTTGTATTTCACTTTTCGTCATTGATTAAAATGACAATATCATGCAATACAATGTAAGCGTTTTCATTTTTCGGTGTTTCTGTATACATAAAACGCTTTATGTAACATGAAACAGGTAAAATATTTGCTTTAATTGTTATTTATATTGATTGATAATGTAATACGCCGACAATAGGTAAAATGGAGATTAGTTTAAAATCCATGTAAACCTTTTTTGTCCTAATTTCTTTTCAGCCCCTGCCCTAGTGTTTGAAACAAATTTTACCAGGGAACAGTGATCCCTAGATTTTACGTATAAGTACTCCTAGTTGGCCCGAAATGACACACTCAGAATGCATTTCTAATGTATTAGTGTCCGATAATTGGCTTGTCCAGGGTTTCCACAGGTGGGAGGTCTCGTTCCTCCTGGACACCCTGGGACCCACGCTGTCACACCGCCTCTGATAAATAGGCCTACAAATATATCGTAGGCATTTTGAACTCACAATGACTGTAATAAGTGTGCTGGTTACCAGTAAAGTAATAGTTTTGTGATTGTAGTTACCGTAATAATTTTTTATATAATTAATGACCTTGTTGCTATTTTTGTTCTGTCCTAGATCAGTGTAAATTTCTTCTGTCTGCTCGTATACGGAATCTCAACGAGGGATAAACACAATCATGGCAGTGGAAAGTGGATCTGAAAAGTGGAAATGGTTCTGCGGTAAAAATTCATCGGATCTCGTGTTTTTTGATGATTTTGAATGGAAAAAGAATTTCACGTACGGAAACGCGTGCTTTATGAGCGCTGTCTACACGATCCCCCATGCACTCTTCATTGTCGTGTTCATTTTAGTTCTGGCGTGCCTTTTCATCTTCTCGCCCCGAAACCTACCCCCCTCAAAATATCTAATCCGTTTTCCAGGTCATGTGGTGCGGTGGTTAGTATCCAGCCTATTATTGGTGGTTCTATTTGCTTCTATCGGGGAGGGGATTTTAACCGATCAGACGTTTGAAGGCGCGCCTACTCAACCCCATTTATATCTGACAGGGTGTTGTTCTGTTGTTACTGTTATACTATCTCTTATGGTTTATCAAATGATGGAAATACGTAACGCAATATACATTTCACTAGTTCTTAGTCTTTATTGGATCCTGGCGATCGGAGTCGAAGCCTTTCGCTTGGTCGGCCTGGATTACATGAAATTAGCTTCGATTGAAACGATTCGTTTTAATATCTGTCTGTTGTCTTTGGCTGGATTTACGATCATCTTGCTGGTTGAATTATATGTGTTTCAAGGCAAGGTGAGTAATATACGGGTTATTGGGTTATTGAACTAAATGGCTTAATTTTAAATTGGAAAGCAGAGACAACTATTTACAGCATTAGCAATAACGATCATAAGCGTGTTTTAATTATTTTCTCGATTCTGTTTTGTTGTTCTTCCAGTATCTTCTGGATTTGATTGATAGGCTAAATTGACCAATCAATTGATTATTTATTATAGATCGATTGTTTGATAGGTCGAATGGTTGGTTGATCGGATGATTAATTGACTGACTGACTGATTAATCGAATGATCGATTTATTGATTATCATTGATTGATTCGTTTACTGATTTTCATTGATTGGTTGAATAATTGACTAATTGCTTGGTGTGAGTGTGCGAGATTTAACACTATGGTTGATTGACTCGTTTATTGATTATCTTTGATTTATTAACTGATTGAATGGTGTGAATGTGCGAGATTTAACATTTGACGGCTTTTTTGACAGATTTATCGTGTATGCTGTGTTCCGTATGGCGGTATTCTCTCGCCTTCAGAGTTTCCCGTTGACGATATGCTTTACAAAGACCAATATTCGAATGCCGTCTCCCAGATTAGTTTTTGGTGGCTGAACTGGTTGCTGAGACTTGGCTATAAGCGCCCTCTAGAGATTTCTGATTTGGGATCAATACCTGACGATTTTGAAAGCCGAAATAATTTGAACAAATTTAAAGAGGCATTTGAGAAAGAAAAGGTAGTTATAGATTGTTTATAACAGTTGATTAAAATGGAAGACCTATATAGGCCTATTCAAGTGGTAAATCAGGTTTACCCACGTATCTTGTATCCTGATAATAGTTAGGGAACTCTATTTATCCTTTTAGCCGGGCACACACGGCGTCGTACGATGGCCGCACTACCGTCACCAAATCTCTATCTCTCGCTTTCTGTGATCGCTTTATGACGCGACGTCGTATGCTGATTGTCCGGTCTAAGCAGATCGCCAATGACAACATCCGTTGCGCGCGCGTCGTCACCTTGTGCCCGGCTGCATATAATGGTGTGAAGCATATGGGTAACGCCAACGTATTGCAATTTTTAACTTTTGGCTTCGAGCCTTTTTATCTATCGCGATGTAATTTGGTAAATTTATATTTTTAATGTTTGTTATGTTTTTCCTTTTAATGATACCGAATAAATTCAATTCAATGTTGGCTGACGCGGCCTGAAGTGTGCCAGTCTCGACGCACCATAACTTTCTCACAAAAGTTGAATAAGTGCAATAACCGCGGTTTGCATTTGCTTCTGAAAAAAGCATTGGTGAACCAAGCCTTACATTACATTTTTGTAACGTCATTACTAAATACTTTTTATATTATTCGTAGAAAAGAGCAGAGAGTAAAAACGTCATGCCGTCTCTTTGGCGAGTATTCGCTGTTGTCTACGGAAGAGGTCTTTTAACTTCTGGTATTTTCAATTTAATTGGTAACCTCCTTAGTTTCGTTGGACCACTGGTTGTTGGAGCAATTGTTACTTATGTAACGAAAATCGTATACTTTCCAGATTCAGAAGTTAAGGTAGTAAATATATTTATATTTTTCATATTGTGTTTAGGACCAAATAGTTTACCAAAAAAATCCGTTTTATTATCGTTATTAACTCCAATGAACCTCAATGTACCGTCAGTGTACCGGTATATATGCAGGAATGGTATGTTCCGGCTCATGGAACTGTTTTGATGTTTGATGAATTTTTGTTTATTTTGTATCGTTTTCGTATGTGCTTCCGAATAAAATGTAGTCTCGTTCACATGATTATTGATTAGGTCTACTATGCCAATTTTGACGTCAGAGACATGAAAACATGAAAAGGCTTTCAATCACTAATAATAGCGCTTGTGTTCACCATAAATTTTCTAGTGTGGTTATAATGTTTGCTGACTGTGAGAAAGGTCCGGCAAACAAATCCCAGGTGGTGGTTTTTTCCTTTGTCAGATTCTTTTTTTGTACTGTAATTATATTATTTCAGTACTGTACACTACGGTATCCGGCATCATATTTTTCCGGGTATTTCCGATATGTCTTTAAACGTAAAATGATAAACAAACATAGGCCTATATATAGTTGTGCGATATTTACTAACAGTGATCATGCATTATTAATGCACACACTGAGCTCATTTTCTGAAGCGAAAGTAAAAATATCCATTTAATATTATTAATAAGTAATGAATAATGTACTCATTTCTGTAAACATGACTCTACTCTTCCCTTATGTTTCTGCCGTCTGACGGGTCTTCATTTTGGCCTAAATATGGTCATGATGACATCACATCATGAACGTATGTAGACCTGTAGGCATATCATAAATATATATGGGCATACAACAGAGCTTTATGCTTATCCTTGAAATCACTTATCATCCCTTTCCTCTTTCTTCCTCTCAGTCTCTTTCATTCAATTCTTCTATCTATATTCCACTAGATTGTAAATGAACGAAAACAAACACGTCCATCTTCATAATGCAAAGAAAAGTTCAACTCTGTTACGTAATAATGTTTCAGGTTAGTCATTACGTCACAACTAAGGAATACTTTGACAATGGTTTCATACTAGTTGGTGTGATGTTCTTTGCTGGAATAGGCAAATTTGTTTGCATACAGTCAGCTTTCCATCTGGCGATTTTAGAGTCGCTGAAAGTACGAGTGGCGATTCAGGTAAATGTCAGCAACATGGCCTAACACGATTTGTTAAATCTGATTATAAATCCGAGTTTTGTTTCTGGTCTATTTCTATCAATTTAGTATCTTTCATCAATGTGCAAAATGTCGTGTAGTCGTATAGGCCCTTGATAGTGTAATAAATTCGTATACACACATTGCTAATTTAATTATAATATGAAACTATCTATATATTTTTTCAGTAACAGTAAATTATAGTCGGGTGATACAAATTGACTTTTTCTTATAAATATCCACGTAGGCCTACAATCCTATGGGCCTATTTTTCTCATAAAACAGTAAATGGCTCTATCCTTGTAAATTTACAAAAGACAAATACAAATATTTTCACTCTTAACTCTATCCAAAGGCCGTCGTTTATGAGAAATCTTTGGCGCTGTCAACTTTTGCGATTACAGGCGGCGCTATGACAATGGGACAGATAACCAACCACATGTCAACCGACGCCATGTCGCTCGTTTACATATTTCAACTCGGGAACCAACTTTGGTCAATTCCAGTGATTGTAAGTAAAGTATATACTTATATAAATTTTGCTTTTAATATCTATATCCAATCATTAACGGAACTGAGCGAATTCTTGCTAAGTAGGCATTTAACAAATAGGGCCTATTCTAGTTTTACCATACAGTTTAACTTTAAATGTTATTTTATAGTAGACCTATATTTCGGTTTATATATAAATTACATTCACCTTTTGATTTACTAGGATACGTATATTCTCTCAAATGGTCTATTATCTTTACACAGATTGCCGTAACGCTGGCCTTGCTGTATCAGGAGATGGGCGTATCTGCTTTGATTGGAGCTAGTGTTTTCTTAGTGACGTTTCCTATTCAAATTAAAATCGGAGCACTGATGTCGAAAATCCAAAAAGAAACCATGGTAACTATAGCATTCTGGATAACATAATTTCATGTACCAAATAAATAAAGGAAATCAGATTATTCTTATAATTTATTATTCAATATAAAAGATAATAACAGAGTGATAAGCCAATTCGTAGTTTTAACTGCACATACCCGTATCCAAGTTCAATCGGCATACATTTATGTTGTGTATTATGTTTGTTTATGTCTATTGATATTGATACCGGCGTGTGCAGTTCGAACTACGAATTGGCTTATTATACCACTTTGTGATTATTTTTTTATATTGGATGATAAATTATAAGAACATTTGGTTTCCGTTTTTATTTGGATTACTGGACTTCTCTTTGTTAGGTATTTTCCGATGAACGACTTAAACTATCGAATGAATTGTTGCAAGGAATCAAATTACTAAAAGTGTATGGCTGGGAGAAAGTATACGCTGACATGATTGAAGGTGTTCGAGCAAATGAATTCAAATGTATGAAGCGCATGGGCGTGTGTACTGTGTTCCAATGTAAGTTATTAAAATGTATTCAACTTAATGTCTAATAATAATTATGCCTATATTTTTGGAACAATTTCAAACCTGTAAAACCTGTATGGGATGGGCGCAATTTACTTCATACGTATGGAACGCCAAAAGGACAAATTACAAGTGTCGCAGTGCAAAAGTCAGTCGCAGTGCAAAAGTCAAGTGGCACAGTGCAAAACTAAGGTGATGCAGTGCAAAACTAAAGTGGCGCAGTGCAAACTCAAAATGCGTGTGCCACCACTTTAGTTTTGCACTGCACCACTTGACTTTTGCACTGTGCCACTTGACTTTTGCACTGCGATTGTAGTTTGTCCTTTTGGCGTGATATCGCGAAAAGGACAAGCTACAATCGCAGTGCAAAAGTCAAGTAGCATAGTACAAAACTAAAGTGGTGCAAAATCCAAGTAGCAGCACACGCATTTGGATTTGCACTGCGCCACTTTAGTGTTGCACTGTGCCACTTTAGTTTTGCACTGTGCCACTTGACTTTTGCACTGCGCCACTTGTAATTTGTCCTTTTGGCGTTCCATACATACGTTGGTGGTACCAGTCACAGAACAACTGGACTGAAGGAAGTAGCAACAACCAAGCCAACGTACTGACAGCGAATCTGTTTACACCAACAACGATAAGCATACTGCCATCACTTAAAGGAAATTATTCCAAATTAGCAGTGAAAACTGATGGAATTTCGTCAACATATAAGCCTATATTTTTAAGATATATTATACAATTCACTGATATAAAGACTTGTTTCAATTTGTTTACTTTCTTCGTAAGTACAGTACAGTATTTACTTTTGAACGCAATATTAAAATTTTTAAAAAAAGTTTGTACAAATTATTTCATTGAATATTGGTGCATTTCAGTAAGTTAACTTCTTTTAAATCCGATAAAAAATACACTTTTGTAGTCTGTTTATGGATACAGTACCGGTATTATCTTTTTATTTATAGATTTCTTCGTAATGTCTTCTCCAGTAATGGTAACCTTACTCGTAAGTACATATTACAGTATTTCGTTTAATTATCATCTGATTATTAGTCCAGTAGTTTATGCAAAAATGCTGGTTCAATTGTGCACTTTGTGATAAAAACACGAAACTCGGCACACTACAGGAATATTTTCGGGTGGGGAT